ATAAAGTGAGGCGTGCTGTTTGTACCAGGGGAAAAAGTGTATTCTGTTTTCCAGCAGGACCTCCACCATCTGTAGTAAATCTTTTGTTTTGCACATCCTGTCGTATATTTAGAAACTCTTCCTGAGCTTTGGTGGTAATGCTTCCGAGCATTATAATGCACAAGTCATCTAAGACATACACCAGCTTCAAAGACCCTTTTTCGTCCCTTATGAAATTATTTGAGTGCTATAATAGGTCTATCCATTACAAGTCTCGTAGGAAATTCTTCCCGCAATCACGTTATAAAAGACGTCATATGGCGAAGGGGAGCTCTGTACTGTGCTCATGGTTCCCTTTGGCGTCTGCTGCCTGCCTACTGCTGACTTAGTGCAACAGAACATAACAATGTATCACGTTACCAGCAGAGGAATAAGGGGATGAGAAGAACTGTTTACCCCGTACAGTAGGTTTAATACACTAAATCAATTTCTTATCCTGGCTCAAAAAAAAAAGAGGGGTGGAGGATTTGGCTTACAGAGTTCAAGCTCATCAGAACTTTTAAGTCACCTTCAAAATCACTAATAGTCTCTCAGCATACAGACTGGTTGCTGCTTCTGTTTCTGAGGTAAATATAATTAGCTGACAGTTTCCCGTGGCTTGCAGAGGCTGTTAGCATTGCCCAGAGCTGTATGAACTACCTGTCCCGCGCTGCGCTGCAATTCACCTCTCTTTCCTCCCCGTCGGTGCCACAGCAACATGCAGCACTGAGTAGTATAATGAAATTTCCAAAATGTCCAAGTCAAGGATCAAAGACTTGTTTCTAAAAAGAAGTTAGTACCCTTAAAACCTAAAACACCTGAAGGACTAAGTGCACATTTCATGAAAACTTCCCTACTGCAAGGTAAAGGCTACAGCATGCCAATGAAGCAAGAGAATAAGAAATACATTTCTCAAAAAAAAAAACGACACATGTTCTCAAAGGTAATCATAAAATTATTACCTCAGATGAACATTGCTTTCTCATACACTTTCACCACTCTGACAGGACAATTGCTGTCAATAGAGCCCACTGGCCAAAATTTTAAAAATAACTAAAGAGAGAAGGTCTCAGAGACTGCAGGCACTGTGACACCATGACAGCCCAGAACTCAGATGCCGTTGCTGGACGCCTGGTAGTATTGCAAGCATTGTGCAAGTGTGCCTCAAGAACACAACTTCCAGGTCAGGTCATAGATAGTTGATCTTAGCACTTTAAAAATCTTCCCTGAATTATATCTATCCCCGAGTTTTATTTCCTGCTCAGAAATCAGCACATGCAGCCTTAGACCAGAGGGTGTTCACGAGCCGAGTGTGTGGCTGGATCCAGTGCAATCACCGTCTGCCTGAGGCGTGCAACTGGTGGACTTAACGAGAGGTATCAGTTGCCTCAGCCCAATTTGTGGAGCCCACTCCTCCAAATCAGATTGTTAGAGGTACATTATGTCCACTTTGGATCACCAACACTTCAATGCCCATCTAGTTAGGAGGGGACCTACAGCAACTGAATGGAGCCAGTCTCTGGGTGGTGACAGCAATCTGTTTCCGAGCTGGAACATCTCCCTTTGCTGGGGAGAAAAACATGGAGGCCAGGCTAGCTAAAATATTTAAGTATGTGTATTCTGTAACATGTTAGTTGTAGGCACTAACACTGAAAGAAGTAGCCTGAGATTTAAACACCTAATGGGTTGTATCTGGTGGTGCCTAATATTTCCTGTGGTGTTCAAGAGCAGTGGTAACCATTTTTCCACTCTGCCCATAGTGTGTGTTTAATATGAGAGTATAAGCATTTGGCAAAGGAATTGGCATTGCAACTGTAAACGCTCTGGTATTCATTTTGAATACATGTCCTACTAGAAATGATACACCAGGGGTATAGGAGATACAAATGAATTCAATCAGAACATGAAGTGCATTAAATTCTTATTTTAGCTAACATCCTGGTATCTGTTACCTGAAGGAATGTTTGTAATGAGTATCTGTGGAACATACCTCGTTAATTAAACTCACAGCCCATACTGATAGCTAAAAGGGTAAAGAAGGGATTGCTAGTTCTCCCAATTGCATGCAAGTAATTTAAGGTTCACTTACAAATGCCATTATAGCAGATTTCTGAACTGATGAATTTCCTCTCTAAGGATTTTTTTCTTTTTTGCAAAACTTGATGCTCCTGAAATTCATACTCAACAAAGAACTTTGAAATAATGCCAAGTGATGTGTGTAGCAATTACCTTTGTAGCTGTAGACTTCATTTAAAAAATATCTGTATGTTTCTAGGCATAGATCTAGCAAAGACCAAACTGTGAAACATGGTCTACACGTTTTTTGAACACCTCCAGGGATGACGACTCCACCACTTCCCTGGGCAGCCTGTTCCAATGCCTGACTACTCTTTCAGTAAAGAAATTTTTCCTAATATCCAATCTAAACCTCCCCTGACGCAGCTTGAGGCCATTGCCTCTCATCCTATCACTAGTTACTTGGGAGAAGAGACCGACCAACACCCACATGGCTACAATCACTTTTCAGGTAGTTGTAGAGAGCAATAAGGTATTCCCTCAGCCTCCTCTTCTCCATACTAAACAACCCCAGTTCCCTCAGCCATTCCTCATAAGACTTGTGCTCTAGACCCCTCATCAGCCTCATTGACCTTCTCTGGACACCCTCCAGCACCTCAATGGCCTTCTTGTAGTGAGGGGCCCAAAACTGAACACAGGACTCACCA